GCACAAAATTATAAATTAAATAAAAATGAGTTTGTTTTATAATTAGGCAAATGCATTTTCGCATGTGTGGTGACAACACAAATAAAGTCAAAAAAGGAAATTGAGCAAAAAAATTTTGTGCAAAAGTTATTTGAAAAAAACTAAAATTGGGGTCCCTTGAGGACCCCACATCGTAGCTTAAGGGTTAAACAAGACAAATAGCGATAACGCTTGTTGTGCTGTACACGTGAGAGTGAAATAGAGGATAACTAAACTAAACAACATTTTCTGCGAATTGCAATACCCGCATCATATTCCGATGATTCAGAATTTTTTAGTGCTTTGCCTTCCGCTTATTAAACAAACCATTGCATTTTATTTTGATTTTCGATGATGTATTTCACATTTACTTAATTGTAACTATCTAAGAATGGAGGAAGCAAAAAATTTTCTAGGGAAGGCTCAGCCTATTTTGATTTTCCAAGATTTCAAATCATTCAATTTTGCAGTTCCTGATTTAAACTATAAAATAAATTGACTCGTTCATTATCTTTTTGAGTCACACTTTATACTTTATAAGCAATGCTAAAAATGTGAATGCAATGATAAATCACAAGTATTAACTCATCATATTTTGTACATGATTTTTTTGATTAAAACTTTACCATGCTTATGATAACTTTAAAACACCTGCAAGCATTGGGTTTTGCAGATTCAAAATTATGTTGCAATATAATTCTCTTTTTTTGTTGTCCAAAAATCTGGACTTTTCGGGTAAAAACTCAACACGGAGTCATGAATTACATGTGTAGGACTATGTTGATTGTTGTTTTATACAATTTAAAACGCACTTACTATATACAATTTTAAAGGGACGTCATCACATTATTGGTGGGGATGATTAGACAAAATTAGACAAAACACATGTAGCAGTGCCTACTAATAAATTATTTAAACTCGTAAAGTTTTTTTTAAATATTAAGAATACACAAAGTTTGGTTACACATGTAAAATTTGACAACAATCGGTCCAGTAGTTTCGGAGGTTATCTGTCTACAGACGGAAACGGAAACGGGAGACCTATTTCTTCGTACTGTAGGGGTCATGAAAAGTCGAGAAAATGTAAAAGTAGAGAGTTGGCCGACAGACTCGATTACAATACTTCCTTCGCTTACTCTCGGGAAGTAAAAGATTTACTTTGTAAATTTTTAAAAATGATGTCATCAAAATTGTAGCAGGGATGGATAGACCAATTTTAGTTAGCGATATGTCAGGTTGTGTTAAATGTCGGGACAATTGTTGCAGAACTTTTTAAAACGAACTGAAAAATTTTGTTGTACGTTTTTGATTAAAAAAAAAACTAAATACAAAATACCTGCGTTTACTGATAAATCACAAGTGCAGACGCACAACATTTTGCACAGATTGATTGATAAATTTTGAAGAGCGATTTATCATGTTTACCACAGGTTTAAAATTTCTGCATGATTTCAGAGTAATCAACTTTGTATTTTTTAAAATTAATTTCTAGAAATCTAGATTTCTGAGGTAATAGAGTACTGATGTACCTCAAGTACCTAAAGGAATATGTTGTGTTTTTTTTTTTTTGAGATGACATAATCAAAGTGATGGCATTGGATCGACATATACAGATGTCCCAGATAAAATTCCACGGTCTTCCTGAGAACGTGTTGAAATATTTATAAACTTATAACTTATATAGTTTGATAGTTCATGAAATTACGATTACAAATTACAGTGATATATTTGGTGTTCCAAAAATAACGGCCAAGCTCGATGATACGTCGTTAAGAAGGTTCTGAATAACTAGAAAAAATTGGTCTAAAGAGTTTAGACAGTACTTCCCTCGCTGTCGGGAGCAAGCCTATTATGTCTTTTTTCGTATTACATTTTTGTAATTCTTGATTTAATCAATAAAATTAATTGTCTCAGTCATTAATTTATTTCAAACACGCTGTATAAGCAAATCTAAAAAATATTAACGCAGTGATAAATCACAAGTATAGACTCACCATTTTTTACACATTTAAGCATTTTTCCAGCAAAATTTTGCGGTGGCGTCATCAAATTTTTAGGGGGGATGAGCAAATACATTTTGATCAAAATTTTACCATGCTTATGATAAATTTAAAACATGATTTCAAAGCATTCGGTTTTGTAGTTCCTGATTAAATCAATAAAATAAATTCACACATTCATTCATTTTTTTGAGTCACCCTGTATATGCAAACCCAAAAATATGAATGGAATGATAAATCACAACTACAGACTTATCAAATTTTGCACATTTTAGGTAGGATTTATTTGACAAACTTTTGGGCTGACGTCATAAATTTTTTGGAGGGGATAAAAACTTATCATGCTTGTCATAACTGTAAACCATCCGCAAGATTTCAAAGCATTCTGTTTTGCAGGTTCAAAATTAAATTGCAAAATGTTGTTTCATAATTTTTTGCACAAAATTTTTTTGCTCAATTTCCTTTTTTGACTTTATTTGTGTTGTCACCACACATGCGAAAATGCATTTGCCTAATTATAAAACAAACTCATTTTTATTTAATTTATAATTTTGTGCATGGGGTCTTCAAGGGATCCCGCGCCGCAAATGATTCTGCATGCTCTAAGTGGATTTCGTCGCTCAGAATCATCAAAAAATGTTGAAATATAGTTCAGATTTAATAAAAATCGACAAAAATACTATTTCTACAGTGGCGGTCATTTCTACGGAACCACTCGATAAAAAGTCAAGTTGGTAGCCCTGTCATCTAGTACTTTACGCCGAACGCGGTTGGTAGTGGTAGTTGATATGGCAATCGAAACTAGCACAACACGAATGTTTCGGTTGCCCTCAGCTATGCCGCACTGTATCCCGTGCAGACTGTATGTTCTGTTCATCTATTTATTAAAATAAAATATCCACATTGACAATGGGGCCATCTAACCTGTCAAATTTTTGACACATATGTTTTCCCCCAGAAACCCGTCAAGGTCACTTACACCAAACAAATTTTGAAAATTTACACTAGGGAGTGGTTCTATAGAAAAGATCGCGACTTTAGATAGAATTTGATTGTTTCATTGTGACCAACATTAAAACTAACTTAACCTCACTTTTTCTTGTCAATTATATTTCCACTGTTAGTAGTGCACTGATTTTGAAATTTTGACGACGATATTTAGAAACGAGGAGTTATTAACATGAAAGACCGTTTGCCTCACTTGCAAAAACATCCTAGAATTGTCCAAGCAATTACATCATGTGGTGTGGTGGATTGCGAAATGGACGAGGAGGTTCCTCGAATTCTCCAAAACAGAGCAAAAAAACGGGGACGGTGCCGAATTTTTCCGTGAAAGACCGACAGGAAAGTGAACCTTAAGTGCAATCAATGCAAAAAATTTGTCTGCAGTCAACATAGGGTCACAACAAAAGAAATTAATGTCCGTTGCAAAGATCACGCCGAAAACCAAGAAATTCGTAATATTTAATTTTTTTCTTTTAGAAGTATGTGCAAATTAAAATAAATTTTTGCATGTACTTTATCATTAATCAATAAACTATCCAAAAAAAAAAAATTACTTAAAATAAACAATAAATAAGCTGGGGTCCCCAAGGGACCCCACGTCGATTTTTACGTGAACATTTTTTACGTCGTTGCTTAAGGGTTAATATAACTATCAGCACTTATAAATTTTAATTTATAAGTGCTGATAGTTATATAAGTATATAGTTATAATAAGATGAAATGGTTTCGTTATTTTATTAAGAGAATCATGATTCAAGAACGACCCGCTCCATTTTCTCGAAAATTTGGAAATACAGTACTGTTATATTGAGTTATTACAAAATTTTGTAATGGAAAAACTTGCTTAAAACAAACGCGTAGCACGCTTTTTTACCTTTACTTGAACATTCCATATATATCTTTATGTTACCTTATAAGATAAGGGTTATCATAAAAAAAGTAAGATTACAATTTTTCGAAAAAACTGGACTCTGTAGTGTACTTTATGGCCGAGGAAAATTTTGTCGAAATAATCTTCGATAAATTTTTTGTGGTTGCTTAGAAATTTAATTGCATTATTTCTAATACTCATATTAAAAGATTACCTTAAATTTACGGTTAATTTTTGAACCAATTTTAACTGGACAGCGTGATAACATCCAAAATTGCGTTCCAATTCCAAATAGTTTCAAATAATTGTAACAATTTTCCGAAATTGAAGTGAATTCTAAGTAAGTAGTTCCACGCTTTCTTCATTAAAAATTCCAGTTATTCGTCTCTTAAAATTGTGACCACACGATGGACTGACACCGGGGAAAAAAAAGCGATGGAAATGTATAGAAAACAAGTGTGAAATAATGCATTATTTAATATAATTAGATGACTGTTTAAAGAATTTGTTATTATTTTTAAATAGCTTTTCCGCTCTTTTTAATTATCTAATAAAAAAAGAAGTATTTTATTCGAAGGAATATCCCCCTGACGACATCAGCCAAAACTTTATTCTTCCTTTAGATTTAGAATATAGCCGTGTAACAATGGAATCGATCTCTTTCAAAGTTCGTCAAATTTCCCTCTTAATTTTTAATGGAATTTATTTCAGACTTTCCGAACAACTCTATATTAATTAATGCAGTACTAGTGCGTTGGTTAAGTTAACTGGAAACACCAAACTTCGCCCATAAAACAACGATTTTTATTATTGCATGCAATTACTAGGTACACGATCATCATAAATATTAAATGTATAACAACAATAAAATGATAAAACAACGCACACAAATCCACGTACCATAAAGTAATCAAACACACTCGAGCACACCTACAAAGCACCCAAACCTGGTAATTTCAACGCCTTCAAGGCCATCACCATCCATCATATCCCATCTTCCTATCAATCACCCAACCACAACCCCAAAACCATCGGCATTTCTTCACCCGACCATCGCGCATGCGCCCTCCCTCCAGCGCGCAATTACCAAGTCTGCCTTTCGAAGAAGTCTTCAAGTTGAACGGCAACAATGGTCAGTCGCCAGAAACCCAGCATACGGTAAAGTGCGTTGCTCGAAAGTGCAGTGTTAGCAGCCGTTTTTGAATGAAAAGTGCCCGAAAATGGTGTGATTTTCGCGAGCTGCGGCGTCCAGGGATGAAGGTGAGCGCCCCATGTACTTTTCACCCCAAAGCGCGCATTCATTTTTAAAAAGAACTCGGGCGGCGGTGAATGCACCCCTGTTGCCATTGACAACCGACAAACAATAACCTATCGCATAACCGGAAAGTATCAATCACGTACACGTGACGGGAATTGTGACGTCACGGGCATTTTCCCACTGGTTCTTGGTGTTGGTGTTAAGTCGATTAGAGATAAGATGGCACCGGCAGGCACTTGTTTAGTTGTTTGTATTAAATATGTGATAGAAGCACTTTATTAATTAATACTTTCTAGTCATTATGGTGATTTTGCTGGGAACAATCGGTGCTAGGCCAGTCCTGCTCGCCATATGCGACCGGCAGATGTTTTATTCCTTGTTTTTTTGTGAGGATGTACTTGTTGAGTTTCACCCTAACTCATCTGAAAGAGCTTTTTATGCGCACTCAATGAACTTTCCAGCGGATTAGTTTGAAGCGTTTTAATAACGTTTTCGTTTAATTACGGTCCTGCGGAATAAAAGGGCGTTTGCGGGTTTATGGGTTTTTTACGGGAAGAGACAGGGAGGGACTGCCCCGAAAGGAGCCCCGCGATGTGACAAGCTAATTATTTTATTATTTATCGTTGTATCAACAGCGGTTAATTAGAAGATGGCATCATTTTCAGATACATTGGTATTCATCCAGAGAGCTATTATTATTATAATGAGTGGGTATTATACGATTTTTTTTAATTAAACATTTTGGAGCCTTAGGCGTCGCCTTGCAGACTGTGGGTTGGAAAAATGGGGCTAAAATTTGAATTCATCACAGTTAGTTTTTCCGAAACGTTTTTTATTTTATTAATGTTAGTAGTGCGACACCAATTACACATATTTGTTTATTTTTTGTCATACTTTTAATAACAGCACTGGCAAATAATTGTTTTGAGTTAATTACTGCCACCGAAGTGTTGCTTTATTTTAAAATCAAATTGCAAATAAACACTAGTTATAACAAGACCAAATGACGACGTAAAAAACATTTATTATTGTGTACCATCAAATCATGTTTCAATTAACAAAATAAATAAAGCAAGAAATTTCGTGACATAACATGTTAATTTGTTTAACTGATCTAATTTAGTCCCAGATTGTTATCACAGCAGTCAGTAAAGTACAAAGTCGCTTAAATTAAGCAACCGGTTTCAGAGCTCGAAAGTTATGTAGTTTTTTCAAGCACTTACTATCATTTTTGAGATACTAGGTTAACCTAATTTTTTAAAATTTACCAGTAGTTTATGGTTTCTATGATGCATTGGATGACACTATTCCATAATATTAATTTAAAAAATACACACTTTTTTGGGGCATTATTATTCTGAGCAACTTTTCAGAATAAAATTTATTCGTATTTCCAATGCGAAACAATGGATCAAAAAGAGTGTAGCTGCTCTTTGATATGAAATACACTGTTTAATTAAGATGTGTAGTAGTTTAATTTGAAACTTTTGTCAGAAATATATCACTATTTTGTCTAACGTTTTATGTACATATCATGTTTTTAAAAGTTTTAGTTTAAAGAATATATCGTGTAGTTTTAAAGTGGTACTTCTCTACGCCCCTTTCAAGACCCCCGCAGTCTCAGTTTTAAGTTAATTGGATACTGTTTTCTTAATGAAATGGTTTCATATTACAAGACGGCGACTTTCTTTGTATCAGAGTTGCAAATGTTCATTAGCAGCAAAAGGAGAAAAAGTGACGGTTAATATTATAAAATATTCGGTATTTAGTAGAACAGAAAAAAAATTGTTTTAAAATCTACTTAAGGATCACTTCACTGTTAATTGTTTCTGATGCATAGACCCAAAAATGGTGAAACTACCTTAACATTACATTGGAAATTTTGATATGTCAAAAAAACACATCAAATTTGTAAAAGTTATGACGTCATCAATGATTTTGATTGCATTATAAGACATTTCATGGGGAATTTGGGCTTTCAAGTTGTCTAAATTATAGGGTTTGTTCATGTAAACACAACTTTTGAGTTGTACCCATAAAAAAAAAGTCAAGAGGTGCCAGATCCGGAGAGCTACGTGGCCATTCTATTGGTCCAGGCCTTTCAATCCACCTTCCAACAAATTGATCATCGTAGCAATTATTTGGAATTAAACGTATAAAAGTAGCGAGAAAAATAATTATGAGTATTAATTATGTTTATTAATTTTTTGATAATGCTTTATATATATTTTATTTAATTAAATTGTAATTTTATTTCCCATATATTTTAATAAACAAGTAAATACGACTCTGCGTCACGTTTGCGTCGTGTTTGTCTGACTTTTGAGCAATAAAGAGCATTTACTTTCATTTAAGTACATTGCTAAATAGCAGTAATATTATTTATATTTACAATGTATACTCGATTATTTGCAATTAATGTTTTGTTGTACGTGTTCTTAAAAAAATATAGTTTTCGCCTCCACTACAATCCAACAAATAGAGCTTCTTGGGCAATAAAATTAGATTTTGCGAATTGGATTTTAAAGTTAAACAATTGATGCGGATTCATAAAGCACAGGTGTAGGACTATGTTATTTTAGAAAATTTAAATAGCATTTACTGTGTAAAATTTTTTGGTGTCGTCCTAAAATTGTTACTGGGAATGATCAGATAAATATTTAACTTTATTTGCTTCCAGCCGCATCCTGTGCGCAAAATGATGCATGCACATGGCTTTAACAAATCATCAATTGGAGAAATTTGTGTAGCAGAATCTGAAGCGGAAAATCAACAAATAATCATAATGGTTGTCATTTACATCTGACGTAATCAAAGTGTAAATAAAGTCATCGAATTCATCCATAAAAATTTGTTCATTTTTACAACATCCGGTTCTACATTGTTCGTGATTTTGAGTGAGGATTTAAATGTGGATTTCTCAAAACAAATATCAAAACCTTTAATTGCTTTGTTAAAAACCACACTGAACATCAAAAGTGTTGTCAAATTTTGTGTGTTTATCAGAAGTATCATGTAGGAGTAGATGGTAAAACGCTAACCAGAGTTTGTTTAATCATCCCGATCAAAAATTTGAAGACGTTATCTCAAAAGATTCTATATTAAAATCGGCGTGGGTAAAACTCAACAATTTATTTCTTAGGAACCCAAATTAACACGATTAATTGCACAGCGATTACATACAGAAGAATTTCGACTGGAATGGATTTGACTAGACTCTTCTTCTCCCATTATCTGGACTTCACTTGTTGGTTGAGACTGACTCGTTCCCGAAGGTGGCTTCTATTTAAACTCATACGTCGTCGCGTCTAGACGTTCTGCGGTCGAGGTCTTTCTGGAATATCCATCGCGACTCCCGCTTTTTTAGCGAACGCCACCCGGCCGCACGTACTATATATACATCTACTCCTACACTTGTGATGTACAAATCCGTGTTGAGTGTTTCCTCCAGACATCCAAATTTTCGCAAAAAAATCCAAACTGTCTGATCAGTTTTTATAGTAACAGTGTTGAGTTGGTCTCTGCCTTCTGACCCGAAGGTCTCGCGTTCCAAGCGCTGACTGGGTCCTTTTATTTTTGATCGATTAGATCAAGAATGGCTCACCCAATTTTTTTGTTGATCAAACCTCAAGAAGTGTACATTCCGATGTTTTATTATCAGTATTATATTGTACGTGTTGGCATTCACAAAGTGTCCTTGTTCAAATAATGATGATCGGAAAATTTTCAAGTGGGAAAACTCGCCAGAAATGCAAGCATAACGTTCCGCTTTATGAATGCATATATTTTTGAACCAATTGTTAGTCGGTTTCGCAGGGATCCTATGAATCAGGTGATACATATCTTAGCACCGAATTTGCGTTGTATTACCATTTTTCTTATTTCTGGCCAATATTTTTTTTTATATTTTTAAAATAAATGTGAAAAATTATTGTTATTCTTAGATTCGTAGGTGGCTATTCTCTCTTCTAATAGTTATATTATTATAAACAGTACGTTTGAACAGACCACACTTGTTGAATAAAGAATTTTCTAAATTAGACCGTTGATTATTTTGTGATAAATAAATAAATTACAGTTTCGGGAATAGAAAAATAACACTTTTTGAGTTGCTTAATGTTCCTAAAATTTAATTTTTTACGAAAAAAATCGTTCTGAAATTTTAAGAACGTAAACACGACAATATAATTGATTCGATATTTAGATATTGGAGCATCTGGTGCCTTGCCTCATCAACTTCTCAAGTTATGAGCCGCCCCAGTCTGTTTCCGATGGACAAGTGCACTCCAGACCAAATATAAATAAGTAACATAATGCGTTGGAATCATAGACAGTGGCGGAATATGGACGATTAAAGTATAAATACGTTAATTATCTCATTGAATTATACAATAGTAATTACTATAGCCGGATAATTTTTTATTTTACAAACTCAATCGATTTGCCGTTTGTCAATTGGACTCGAAAAACTCCAATTGTTACGCAAATAGATTTCGTTGGAAATAAAAATGTATCCGTCTAAATGAATAGCTTTTGTGTAATCAGTAATCAGAGTCGAAAATAAATAATTTTTATTTTATATAATACCCTGCAGATATTTTATTTTTTTAAGAAAATTCAATTATAAATCCCAGTTTCCACAAGCACCAAGTAGCAGAAAATGGGATCGAGAATTTCTCTCTTTGAGTTTATTTTCTTTTACTTTTTCTGGACAGGCTGTGGACCTGCATTTTTAATAGGCCTGCGGTGTTTAGGTTATTTTTACTCAAGGCATATGCTCCTGAAATTGCTGAACAGGATCCAAGTAATTACATTACACCGGGAGTCGTAGTCTTTGTTAGCCCTCTTGTACGTTGAGATGCGGTAAAATTTAAGTTTAACGCCAAGTTCCATAACGGGACGGATTGTGCCCATTTTAACATCAAATAGAGTAGTATTTAATTTTTGTAACTTACTAAGGCTGCGTTTACGTTACAAACCTACGGATTTAGACCAATGACCT